TTTGAGACTTGAGTGCATATTGGGTGGGCAGAGCACCTCGAGTTCCCCCTCAGTGGGGACAGTGACCTGGTTAAGGCTTAAAAATAAGCACCTGAATTCAGGGCCAGCAGCAGGGCAGCCACCTGGGGTGCTCAGGGAGGGGACACTGCGATGCCTTCCTCTTTCCAGAGCCGTGGGGAAGCCCAAGCCCCTCTCCCTCAGCTTGTGCATCCCTGCAAGGGATCCCTAGCAGGACAGGGAAGATCCCAGGTCCCCAGGGGTTACCTGTCATCCTGCTCCAGTGCCCAGCCCCAGCGCTCCCAGGCGGTGCGGGGCAGGGGGTGCCCCCCAGCCGTGCAGTTCAGCCGCAGCTCCTGGCCCCTGCTGAAACGCTGGGGACTGGCGTCCACCTTCACCCACGGCACCTCTGCACAGGAGTGAAGCTGGGCTCAGCTCCTGGCTGCCACCCAGCCACGGGGCAAGGCATCCCCCCGGCCAAACAGCCTGACACAGGCAGGGGGGTGGAAGCCAAAAAGCAGAAGAAATGAAAGGGAGGAGAAAGGAATAGTTTTGAGACTTGAGCGCACACTGGGTGTGCAGAGCACCTCGAGTTCCCCCTCAGTGGGGACAGTGACCTGGTTAAGGCTTAAAAATAAGCACCTGAATTCAGGGCCAGCAGCAGGGCAGCCACCTGGGGTGCTCAGGGAGGGGACACTGCGATGCCTTCCTCTTTCCAGAGCCGTGGGGAAGCCCAAGCCCCTCTCCCTCAGCTTGTGCATCCCTGCAAGGAATCCCTAGCAGGACAGGGAAGATCCCAGGTCCCCAGGGGTTACCTGTCATCCTGCTCCAGTGCCCAGCCCCAGCGCTCCCAGGCGGTGCGGGGCAGGGGGTGCCCCCCAGCCGTGCAGTTCAGCCGCAGCTCCTGGCCCCTGCTGAAACGCTGGGGACTGGCGTCCACCTTCACCCACGGCACCTCTGCACAGGAGTGAAGCTGGGCTCAGCTCCTGGCTGCCACCCAGCCACGGGGCAAGGCATCACCCAGGCCAAGGTTCCCCTCACGTGGCAGCACCTACCCTGGATGAGGAGCCACAGGGCTGCGGTGGCAGCGCCGTGGGCGCTGCGGGCCATGCACTCGTACAGCCCCCTGTCCCCTGGCTGCACCTGGCTGATCTCCAGGGAGCCGTTCTGCAGCAGCCTGGTCCGGCTGTCCCCTGGCACTGCTGCCTTCCCATCCCAGCTCCACGTCAGGTTGTAGGGCACGTGGCTCAGAACCCGGCAGGACATGACCACGTCCTGGCCCGGTGAGGCAGTGATGTTGGCCGGGGCTATGAGACGTGGGGGTGGCTCTGCAAGGATGGGGTGAAATGAGCCCAGCCACAGACCCAGAGACTGGTGGATACCAAAGCTTGGCAGCAGCAGTTCCCACCTGAGACAGAGAGGTAGGTGTGAGCCCGTGTCACCCCAACCTTGCTCGTGGCTGTGCACTCGTAAAACCCTTCATCACTCTTGGCCACCGCTGGGATCAGCCAGCTGATGTTCCCTGAAGTCCTAGGAAAAGAGAGAGGCGATGGGGTCACCCCACCCTGGGGCTGCCATGCCACCACCCTGCTCCAAACCCTGGGAATTTTTTCGTGGACTCATAGAATCACTTTGGTTGGAAAAGACCTTTGAGATCATTGAGTCCAATATTAAGTGCTCAGGCACCCCTCTAACACACAGCATCCCCCCAAACAGGAGAGCTCTAAGGGCTATTGCTGCCCTCATGGGTTCATCATGGAGCCCCCTGGGCCAAAGCAGAACCTCACCTGAAGAGCTGCTCTTCCCCAAGGCTCGTCCTACCACGGCTGAGCTGCAGGAGAAAAGGGACCTCACTCCTTGCAGAGCAGGAGATCAGCTTTGGCTCGTGGTTGTAAGCCTGGATCTTGCTGGAGATGTTCACTTTGGGTGGACCTGAAAGTAGATGGGGACACACATACAACACTCCTTGGGAGCTGCACTAAGAAGCAGGATAAAGAAACAGCCATACAGAAACCAAAGCAGAGGCAGTGCTGGAGCCTCTGGTCCCTTCTCAGCACCCCTGGGGAGGGTCAGGACCACTCACTGGGGACCACGCTGGTGTAGGTGACCCCAGAGAGGCGGTGCAGGGGGTGGCCCTGAGCGTCTTTGCCCTTCACCCTCAGCAGAAAGTCTCCTGGGGGGACATGGAGTGGTGAGCCCACCCAGAGCTGCTCCGAGGAGGTGTTGGAGAGGGGCCACACAGGCAGTGAGAGGAGAATGTGGCCAGAGGTGTTGAAGAGCTCTATCTCCTGCAAGTGCCCAGGAGGCTTCAGGCCAGTGCAGTTCACCACCACTGAGATAGGCAGACCTGGAGAGAGAGGGAACAGGAAACACAACCCAGCTACATTTCCAGCTGCATGAAACCCAGACACAGCACCCATGTCCCTGGGCAGCACCAGCCTCACCCTGCACTGGCTGCTCCCCTGGCCGGGTGGCATCAAAGTCTGGCTGGGTGGAGAAAGTGGCTTGGAAATTAATGTTGCTGATTCCTGTGACCCTCAGTGAGTGGCGGCCACTGCTCTGGGTCTGGAAGGGGAGTGAGAGGCTTGTGTTGAGGACAGGGACAAGGAGAGGGGATGAGGAAGGGAGGAGGTGGCAGCTGGCCCCTTCCAGCCTGCTCACATGTCCTCTGCCCAGCTGTAGGTGGATGGAGATAAGCCCATGCCTGGGAAAGCCTGGCTGGCTGAATATCCACCAGGGGACAGGTAGGGGATGGGCAGGGTCTGTCACCAACCTACCGTGACCAACCACATCCCTGGCTCCTGGGGCTCCACAGCCACCACTGTGGCTGAGTTGGGGATGCTGAGCAGTTCCTTCAGACCTTGGCCTTTCTCCAGGACCTTTCCTGCAACAGCAAATGAACCTCCGCATCGGGCAACCTTCTGGTCCCTGCAGCCACCCAGGAGCCCCCTCCCTCAGAGCTCACCACAGTGCAAAGCCCATCACACAGCTCTCACTGCCAGGCCAGCAGAGAAAAGCTTCATAAAACCAGAGGCAAAACCAGCCAAGGATGGGAGCAGAGCAGGTGAACTCAGTGCTTAATGAGGGCTTTGCAGCTCATTGCTTATTTAAGTTTTCAGCACAGGGTTAGGTGCTCCCCACACCTGCATCCTTCTGTTTGTCCTGACATGAGGGGTCTGCAGGAGACAAAGCATCACCCTCTACCTGTTCCACTTCCCTGGGACCCTACCTGCTGGATCCTGGACCTTGATCCCTGGTGCAGGACCACTCAGGGAGATGGTGACCTCCTTCAGGCTGGAGTCAAAGGGGACACGCCATGTGTGCTCCCCACCATGCTCGTGGTCTGTGGACAGCAGGTGGACCTTGGAGGCCTGGATGGCCTCTTCCACCCACTTCAGCACCTGTGGGCATGTTAGGGAGGATTAACCTGGATCCCCCAACACCACCAGGCATGGCCATTTCAGAAGCAGGGCTGAACTGTGCTGGGTCAAAACCTCAGGCATAGCTGCAAAGCAGGGGCTCAAAAGGCAATCTGGAGGTGCCTTGGACGTGAGGATTAACCCCAGGGAGAATATAAGAGCAGCCAAGCTGGGCTGGATCACATACACCTCAGCCACCCCGTCCCACAGGTGTCCCCGCTCACCTCTGCCACCTGCTGCTTGTCCAGGTGGAAGATCTGCCCGGAGCTGGTGGCAGCGATGCGCTCGTACACGCGGTACCCGGGGTGGCTCCTGTCCCCGCAGTCCCCGGTCAGCACAAACACCACCTACCACAGCAACATCCCCTGTGGCATCTCCTGCACAGCCACAGGAGTTTGTCCATCCCGGGCTGGGCTCAGCCTGCATCTACCAGCCCCTGAGCACATCGAGCCGGGGGATGCAAAATCCACCCCGGTAACAGGTAACACAGGACGGGTTTATCACTGCAGCTCGTTGCCAGGAGCTGCCTTTGCTGCTGCTGTGTCCACCCCAGGCAGCTCTTGCCAGAGGCTGGGAGCAGGGTGGCTCACCTGGGTCTGCTTGTGCTGCAGCAGCTGCAGCAGCTCCTCCTGCCCCTCGTAGTCCTTGGCCCGAGCATCCGAGAAGACATAGATGAAGGAGCCAGGGTGTGAGACCTCCACAGCCAGCCTGATGGCTCCCACGCTCATCTCCGGGCAGTCCCCTCCACCCTGCAGCACACCATGAGGGATGTGGCACAGGCACCAAGCCAACCGAGCCCAGCCCTTCCCTGCTGGACTCCCACCCAGGGTCTGCTCACAGGGAGGAACTGCACCAGTTGCTGGAGTCAACCCAAGCACAGCCAGAGCAGAGACATGCACAGGGACACAAAGGACCACAAGAACCCATCCCTGCCTCCCCTCTAATGGTGATTAAACCACCCATTCGGGGATCCAGACCCACAGAAACCACTGGCTTCCCACAGTTGTACCCAGCCCAGCCTGTCACCCCTCCATGGCAGCAGAACCAGCCATGCCAGGCAAGTGCAGAGGCACAGAGAGCACCAGTTCCCACTTCCACGGGGGCTTTGCACCCTGAAGGGCTGTGAAACCATTTGCAGCTGCAGCTTTACACCTCCCACCAAAACACAGCTGCATCCAAAGGGATACACCGTGGGGATTTAGCAATGCACTGGAGGCAGGGATGGATAAAGCATGATGAAGCTCCCAGAGAATTTTCAGCTGGCAGAAAGGAGCCAAATTATTTCTTTATTCCTTTTTTTTTTTTTTCAAGAAGTAAAAATCTCGGTTTTCAAACAGCATTTGTGTAAGAATAGATTTTTTTGATTCCGTGGAGAGTGTGTGCAAACTCTCTCAAGGAAAACGTTCCCACTTTGGGACAAGAGCTGTGAACTGTGAGTGCTCTGCCCCCCCCGCAGGAGCCTGGGGCACACGATCCGCCCTCTCCGCTCCCACCTCAGCCCCCAACAAACCCCCACCGAATTCCCTGGGGGATGCCAGGCAGGGAGGGGCGCGGGGACTGCTCCTGGGACCCCCCAGGG